GGGGGGGGGGGGTACGAAAACTTTATGCAATAGCCAATTCATATGTGAAAGGATTTTGAATCACATGGTTGTAAAGAGTTTGCATAATTTGATCATCATATTTTCGATAAAAATTAAGATAACTTGCCTGTAACGAAACATCTCCTCTTTGGTCATGTAGCGAGCCTCTTGTGTACCACAGAAAGATCCTACACAGAGAACACTCCACAGCAAGTCTAGCCATGTTTTCATTCTCTTTTTATCCTCGGTTTTTATACCTATGTTTTCACACTAATCTGACAAACAACAACAAATATAAACTTCTTATAAATCACGGCAGTTTAACTTGCCAAAAATCACTCTTTTCCGAAACTAATTTTTCTTTCAAACACACTTGACGACAGGGTATCATTACTTGATGTGTTTTTGTAATAAATATGATTGAAATGTTGAAAAAACTAGCAAATTTTACCGGAAAATGACGTCCATATGTTTTCATCCATTCTTTGTCTTACACGTTGAAAACGCAGCTATTTTGCCACAGGGAGCCCATTCCAATAACAAATTCCAAGTCATAAGTTTAAACTCTATTTGTCATTTCTACTTTATTAATTAAACTACTCAAAAACGGGAAATCTATTACTAGTAACATTAAGATGATTAATTTTTTCCCCATTTAACTTAAAAATAGCAAGAAGCAAAATAAAATAAATTCTTGTTTTGGTCACCCTGTGTCTTGATGGTTTTATTTGAGACCGCAGTACTACGGGCCAGTGGTTTTTCATAATAGCGCGACTTTCGAATTTTTTTGACGAACAAAACTTCGATTTGATGAAGATTTTTACATGGATTAATTGCTCTAAATTCCATGTAAAATGCAAATATAATGCTCGATGGGACGCCAAATATACACAGCTGTTTACAGGTAACTGTTTTTACTCGGATTTGGAGTTATTTTAGATTAATTCATCTGGTCCATTTGATTGTCAGAATTTTGGCAAGCTTATTTTTCTCCTTCTGTATCAAGCTTTCTTCTGAAAATGAACGGATCAAAGCTAAATACAAAAAGCTTCAAAGGAAGAATACATTGCTTGAGAAGGAATTGAACCACTTAAAAGGCCAGCTTACGAACGAGTGGTCCACAAAGAGCCGAGCTCCGACCAGAAGGTGAGAGAAGAGAGCTTAGAATTGTTGGCCAATAAAAATCCCCGTTGACCATCCGGTTGTATATTTTAAATTTAAAAGAAAACTCTTAGAAATGAGTATAGACCCCGCACCCCAGACCTGCTCAAGTATTCAGTGGAGGACAAAACATTGAATTTCAATTCTCAGGGAAGTAATATTACATATTATTGTTTTGTCCTCCAAGACTAGAGCTTCGTTGAGATTATCCTGTGAGCAGGGGCAAGTTTAGGGGGCCCCGTGCCCCAGTTCCAGTTTGGTATGCATCTTTTCCCCAAAAAATGAGTGGGGGGGAGGGGATGAGGATCTAAAAAAACCTTTTTTAAAAATTTTTTACCTTTGACAGTGTTCATGTTCAAACTGACCGCAAGTTGATTAGCAAGCAGTATGTCCGACCTGCTACAACACAGGCATTGACCAAGCAGCCACAGGATGAAGGAATCGAAAAATCCGAAAAGTATGATTATAACATTGAATATAATAAAAATACATTATATAGTGAAAAGCATAATCACTGCTGYATATCTCTAACACACAATATTGCATTCCAAAATAAGTCGCTATTCACCTTGGACTTATAATTAAATAGACCAATAATATTATATTAATTATGAATGAATATGTATTAATTTATGATCTTTATCCCTAAAGTAAAGACTTTGTTTCTTAAAATTTCTTCCTTGAAGGTTGCTGGCCATGCATACCAACCTGTTGAAGAGATACCAGAAAGAACTCAAAACAAATACCGCACAAGTTGAGCAAATAGCTTCACTCACGGTAAACCTCTTCTTTGTTAAGGTGGCTTCATAAGGTTTTGAGGCAATACCAAACATTAGGGAACAGTATTCTTAGGCTAATATCGATGTTGATACCCAATAGACTATATTAAAGTCCATAAGTTCTTTTTTTTTTTTWAAAAGAAATAAATTGATCACATATAACATAATGTTAACTCTTAAGAAGGTAATTTTTTTCATTAACAAATTGAAAACTCTAGCTTTCCAGGGTGATTTTTTTCCAAACTTCGCACAATCTAAATTTATTAGGACTGCTTTTTTAGCTCATGAAGAGCTATCAAGGTGGCTAGATTTTGCATTTTTTGGATAACGCTTCCCAGCCAATCGTTTTGGGTAATTCCTGTAACCATGGAATCCATTGTATTCACCAAGTGACGTCACTGGAAGAATCCACACACTTTGTTTGCAGAGTAAACCATTTTCAAATATCAGCTGAGATATGACCATTTGAATATATGATTACTCCACACAAATCACAGAATTTTCGGCTGGGTTCCAAATGTTTGGAAGCTGAAAATACAGTGATTTGTATGGAGTAATCATATATTCAAATGGTCATATCTCAGCTGATATTTGACCGATTCTCATCAAATTCGGTGTGTAAGCATCCTTTTTGATTAAAAATAATGAAAGTCAAAATTTATTTTTCTGTGACGTCACACTTGAGTACTCTATTCCTGAACATATTTTTCTATTTAATTAAAGCTTGAGAATATTGAGCTGAAACAAAAGCTGGAAGAGACTTTCAACAAGTTGAGAGAACAAGAAAAGGAGAATGAAACACTGCAGCTAAGAATGAAGAATATAACAGTTAAAGACAGGGTTACTCCATCTAAAAGAGGTGAGGTTTATTACTAACACCATTAAAATCTGGCTGACAAATAAAATAATTGATTTGATGTCCGAAGTCATTACAGATTTTGATGTCCCTGTTTTTTTGTATAAAAAACCGCTTTTTCTATTTTAATTTTCGAAAAATCTATTTTTGTGAAAGATTTACTTGCAGACCTTGAAAAGGTGACCAAAGAAAGAAACAGTTTACTGCAGGAGAGAAAAAAGTTCAAAGGTTTGTAGATTATTATTAGTTGAAAGAGGGGGTGGTCAGTGGGGTGTTGTTAGTTGGTCAGTAGGGTGTTGGT